CGGGCGCTGATAAACCTCTTCTGGATTCCAGTTATCGCAGACCATTCATACCCTGGATCGACAACACGCCACGGAAGAACCATTCACGGGGATTTATCCTACTGTTCCAGTCCCACTTGAATTTGGACTTCGTCAGGTCAGGTAAACCAGTCGGGGATTGGTTTAGCATTTCTAGCGAACTGGGAAGATAATCGCGACGAATGGGAGGTAGCCAGAAGGTCAATCATGTCACAAGGCAAATCGTCACTCTAATGGTGCATGGAACGTTTAAAAGTGATCCACGTTACAAGGTCAACCACAGGGATGATGTGATGTTCATTCTCTGCCCTGAATCCGCCGACCGGCGCTCATCAGACTGGTCGGGTTAACGAAGCCCGCCACACACTCGCAAACTCTGCCCCGTCCATTCTGTTCACACAGCTGTTCACCTTGCTAATCTCAACCGCCTCAATAATCAGCCTTTCGGACGCTATCAGATTTCGACGTTATTCAAGTCGATCGCATGACCCGTAACTATCGCGTGCATCTCTACTGCCGAATCCCTTAGTAGAGCCCTATATTTAAGCTCGTTCCTCGGTGGCCCTGTTATGCGTCTCTTGTGTTCTGCTATCCTTGTGTGTATCTCTCTCGCGGTTTGACCGATGTACACGTGAGTGCAGTTTTGCAACTAATTTTGTAGATGCAATTAGTTGTCCTATTTGCGGGAAATGGGTCCTTCAAGTGCGTCAGTGTAGAGCGGAGTGTTTGGACTTTCTGGAAAATTACCCTTATGTTTTGTTTGTTTAGGACCCACCAAATGACCTCCGAAGTTCCATCTTTATAAGGAATTCCTACCGTCCCAATCCACTCCGTGGCATGCCTTGTGTATGGATTTAAAATTCGCTGCAACTGGCGTTTCGCTAACCGCCTCGGGTATCCATTACCAAACAGTTGCTTCATTGCTTCTGTCCGGGTGGCCTTCCTATCTTCTTCCTCTGTGCACAGGATCTGGGTTCTGTGAAACAGAGATGAGGCGATTCAAGCAGACACATGCTTTGGGTGACCTGAACTATGATGGAGTACACCGTGTCCGTCGGCTTACGAGATATGGTTGATTTTAGACTATCAGCATTCCTGTGATCTAAGCAGTCAAGAAGTGGCAATGTACCACTGCAAGATTCGGATTCCATAGTGAAATTTATAGTCTCCGCAAGAGTGTTTAAGCGGTTTAGATACTCATCTTTCTTATCCCGTTTTATAATCCCAGGTAGCGCCACCAAATTTTCGGTGAGCTACAAGAGTCAGTCAGCGCCCTCATTTCAAAACCTTCCATGTATAAATTTGCCATTAAAGGGGATATTTGTGATCTTGTGACAAGTCTTGGTTCCTGAGTGTGTAATCTAGATTGGAACATAAGACATGTTAAGGCACAAGTTCATTTCTTCTGTTTTCTGTTCTACCCTAAGCTTCGTTCTCTTTCCCAGATTACTCTCCTCAGTTAGACGATGTTTCGCTATCTCTAAAATGTCGGATATTGACACGTTGATAAACAGCGAGCTAACCTCGAAACTGACCATCATTTTATCCGACTTAACCTCAAGACCCGACACCTTTCTCGCAGTCATATGAGTTCTTTAGGAACGTATTCGTCTGCCTGGTCAAGAGTTGCATTATGCTAGCCAAATATCTAGTTACTGCATGCGTTGGCGAACCTATGCCATTTACAATAGGTCGAATGGATACATCGGGCTTATGTATCTTCCGTAAGCCATACACTCTTGGTGGAAGAGATAATTTCGGGTACGTGTTGTATCGTTTTCCGGGTCCTAGATGCTCCTTTAGGTTATTTAAGTAAGTACCAATCTCTGTCTTATTCTTATGCATCACTGACGTGACGGTCTTATTGTCGCTAACTTTATATGGTCCCGTCAGTAGGCGCGTCTCCAATTTTTCTAAGTGATCCGATTTGTTCATTATCACCGTGGTCTTGTCTTTATCGGCTTTTGTTATAACAATATTCGGATCTTCCTTTAGGGCAGTTAATGCGAGACGTTCCTCTGGCGCAGGATTTGGCTCCACTGGCTGCTGAAATTTTGATAATGTTTACATTTGCTGCACGAACATGCTCAGCCGTTGAATGGGTTAATTTCGCTAACACAGACTCAACACTAGGAATGACTTATTCGGCTCTACAGCGCCGCGAGGAAGAATGTAACGAGTGCAGTATTGTCGCACCTAGTAGACTACGACCATCAAATCAATTCGAATGACACATTCACACCCATCTACTGTGTCCTTGGACGTTACACACGGCACTCAGATGTCGCCTGCCGTCGGCAGCAGAGGCGATCGTAATTCGGCTCTACAACCTGTTGTGCTCAGAAAAATCTCGTCCATACTTTAACCCTGCCTTGACCTCAGACCAACGCGACTAACAATGGCAGCCACGCACCTCGCCTCAACAGACTAAGCACGTAGACTTATCAATTAGTTACTCTGCTTCAGTGACTCAATTTAAACCCATTGTGTCTATTCTATCTTGCTTTATTGTGGTTGTATTAGCCTGATGATGAAGCCATGAAAACAAGCTTGTTCGCTAATTTCTGTTTATGATAGTTTGGATTTATTGATGGTAAACAAAACCCTTCTTCAGTAGTCTACGCTCTGTCTCACTCAATAATGTATCCGAAGTAGTAATTAAGATACACCATCTGCTGCTAGATGCAAGCCTGCTAGTGGGACCGGGGGCCTTGGTACGTACAGACATCAAGTGATGGAACTTACGAATTTGTCATTTTTTGAGATCCTTCCTCGTACTGACTTAACATCCGAAGCTTTGTTGTAATGCCTGTCATAGTCTGCAACTCCGAGCTCAATCGACTTGCGTGGAGGCGGACTTCACTCAGGCGTCCAGTGGACAGATAAATCCGTTGTTTCAACAATGCTTTAATTGTGTTGAAAGTTATTTTGACAGAAGTGTAAGGGCTGGCCGGTAGCTTGACTAAGAGATTCTAGGAAATAAGATTGATCTTAAGGCAGTTTATGCTGAAAACCCTATGATTCTCCCAATTAGCTTCAAGGCCAGCCAATCGAACGAATTCACTTGCAAATTTCTGAACGCGAGGTCCGTAAAGGCACTCAAAATCCTTAAAAATGCTTGGAACCGATCGAGAACTCATGATTTCAGAAAGGTTTGAAAACAACTGGTTGGTAAAGTTTGTTGGCAACGTGCACGCGATAGATACGGGTCATGCGATCGACTTGAATAACCTCGAAATCTGTAGGAGGGGGTTACGATCAACGTCCGAAAGGCTGATTGTTGAGGCGGTTGAGATTAGAAAGGTGAACAGCTGCGTGAACAGAATGGACGGGGCAGAGCTTGCGACCAGTCTGATGAGCGCCGGTCGGCGGATTCAGGGCAGAGAATGAACATCACATCATCCCTGTGGTTGACCTTGTAACGTGGATCACTTGTGACCGTTCCATGCACTATTGGAGTGACGATTTGCCTTGTGATATGATTGACTTTCTGGCTACCTCCCATTCGTCGCGATTATCTTCCCAGTTCGCTAGAAATGCTAAACCAATCCCCGACTGGTTCACTCGGCTTGACGAAGGTTTTGTGTCAAAACCGAAAAGTTGCCCACAAACGATACCAACCGGTTGTTTTTAAACCTTCCCTAGTCCATACATTGCGCTTTCGGTGTCTAGATGGGATGAACTTTAGTTATATCATTCTGAATAAACAACCGATTCAATTTGCTGAGACGATTAAGCGGCAGTCTGTAAACAGACTGAGTTCGTACCCAGTCTCGGTTTGCCTTGGTGTGGCCGTTGGTCACCTTCCTCAAAGCGGAATGCTAACCAGCATCAGAGCAATCTCGACCATCGTCGATTTACAACATTGGCAGTGACTGTCACCCAGTTCGTGTTGTGGAAACAAGTCAAGTCTAGGATGCTGTCTATACAACACCACTCAGTCTTATGGACTTATTCCAAGCACGTGACCAGTCAACATGTTTATCACGCTTTCGATTGCCTCTTATTGTGCGATATGTTCTATGATTATGTTTCTACTTTCATAATGCCTAAGGTGACCCGGCAGCGGTATTTCAAAAAGTAATGGAGCGACAGACTGAAAGATAAGACATTGTCACTGTGTGTCATCTACATGGTTTCAGCATGGACTACAGTGGTGGGTATACACCCCACTTGACATTATTCATTCGAAACGACAGTAGTTTATCACAATCGGCCGTTCGCTTCGGGCCGTTAACAATGTCACTACACTATCCTAATGTTGGTTTCTCTTAGTTATTTTCCCCATCTCATAACTACAACCATACTCATCACGTCGGTGAATATTCACATGAACACGGTCACCACAACTCCATTATCGACCCAGCATGTACTGAACTGAAGTGTTTCTTGTGTATTGCGCTTGTAAATTTGCCAGTTGCCCTTCAACCGAAACCTGTTTATGACTTTTCTCAAACCTTTTATCACAACTCTAGGACAAGCTATTACGCAGTTTCTCGTACTAACACATCCGGCGTTGACAGCTGGCGTTCCAAAAAAGCAGAGCGGAAGGTGTGGAGAAGGTCACCAATCGGATACTACCAGAGTGCCAGTAACGTAACTGCGTCGCCAGGATCACGTGAGGTTGAACCACTCGCAAACGATTGGTCGAAGGCAGCACCGATAATGTGTGATCCTCCCCTGAGCATGTAAAAATGCCATTGGTTCATATTTCCACAAAGGCCTTGTAGCATCCAGTCAGTGATGTTTGAATAGTTAATCGATGACGAATGCAACAACACACCAATCGCAAGCAACATTAACTACAAGTCAACAGAACCGGCTGTACGGTGGAAACAAAATATTTTGTTCAAAGCTCAGTACTTGTTCCGTTTTCCGAAGACTGCGCAACGCATCCATGGTCCGGTTAGGTCAGGATGTATAAATAAGGTACGAGAAAATTTTTAGTGACACATCATCAACTCGACAATAGTTGTACCTACTTGTTTTGATAATGCACCACGAATAGCGTCTCGATCTCCTAGCACCGATTTATATTTGGCACGTTGTCGGGTGATCTGTTCTAAGGTGTTGACCAACGCCGTGCGCAAGATGTCCACTTCGTTGTTGAGAATACGCATCTTCTCGTTCATCTCTTGCATACGTTGCTGCGCTACTTTGATGAGAGTGAGGCAGTTGTTTCTCTCCTCCTTGATGGCTTCGTACAGCTGAGCGAAGTCTTTCAAATGTTTCTGCGCTCGAAGAAACAGACAACATCATTACACATGGCTTTATTGGGGTAATCATGATAATATTTTATTGGATGATGTTTGTAAGACTATATCGTAGTACTCATGTCCTTTGTTAACAATGACCATCTTCAGGCTCACCTACAAATGGCCGACACGAAACGAAAGCCTCCCCAAGGTTACATACGAAAGCAATCACGTCACGGAGTTGTCTTGTTTAACGGCAACCGCAGAATCCCATTAGATACCTTAGAAGACCGGTGGCTGAAAGGACTGCACACCTGTATTCGAATTTTGGGTAACCTGTTGGAATCCGCGTATATGTGGGAGTTCTCGTGATGTACCTGGCTCTCGTGCAACTGGTGGTGGCTGCGTGGCAGCGAAGCGTCGGTACGATGTAACGACGTAATGATGATGCTCTATTTTTGGATTATGGTTCTGTTACTAACCTGTACAAAATAAACAAGACCAGGTAACATGATTGTATATTATTGTGCAACAATTATTGCGATGTCTCTGTGTCAGAGACTGTGCATTCTTTAATTTAGATTCAGGTCAACCTGTCCCCCCACCATGAGTCCTCTTGTGGTGAATAACTGATAAGCGGTGAGTAGCAGGTTAGGCTGAAGAGTTGCAAGTCGTTTAGTCACCGTCAAACCGCCAACTCCTTTCAAAATATGTTGGGCGGTTATTCCATTTGAATTGGGATCATCAACTGTGCGCTTTTGCCTCCGGGATTCTACCTTAAGACTTCTAAACTTGTCTTTGACAGCTTATGCCACATGAGCCTGTGGATCGAGGTCCGCTTACAAGGTCACTTGATTAAATGCGATACATTGCTTCTTTTCTTTTAATGCATTGCGTGCCCCTGTCATGTGCATGTGGATCCAAGATACACAATTCCCTGGCCGATAAGCCAGGCACGTTGAGGCGTTTGTATGCTGCTCGGACTATTACTGATATTAAGAAGGCACGAGAGATGAGGAGTGTTGCAAATAGATTTGCAGAACACTTTGAAAGTTCCACTGGTCTGGTTAGGAGAAAAAACCTTTAACATTTGATTGCGAAGCAGTATTACGTTTTACAGTTACTCAATGCTTTTAGGATACGACAGAAGATGCGGTCTGTGAGATGATGTCGTAATTTCACACATTGTCGTCACTTACGTGCATGCAACGGATGAGATACGAGAAAGAAACAAGGTCACGTGAAATCGAGTAGTGCTCAATTAGCGTCCCATAGGTACGCTTCGCGCTGTCGATTACCAAAACGTGGCTTCGTGGGTGCCTGGATGACTCACCGTGCTTACTGATAGTATTCGCACAGTATGTTACTTGATGCTCACCTGGGTCTCGCATAGAGACTTTTCATACTCCTGAATTTGCAACCCCTTTGTTTTTATCGCGTCGTGTAGCTCTGCGTAGCGTACTTTTGCCAGTCTGTGTTCCCGAGCTTTCTGTTCCCTTTCTTCGGCTTTGATCGTGGCCAGTCGAGTGAGTTCCAAAACCTCCATCCGCAGGTCGGCTAGCTCCACGTTCAACTGTTGATAATTGCGGTTCGAACGCAGCAACCGCGCCCTCTCTGCCTCTGTAACGCCATACTAAGAAACAAAATAAGGACACAATCCTCTTAGCTGCCGTAGCAAACGAATACAGCAGTGCAATTTTAATGAATTGCGGTGTAAAAATGAGGTAATAATAGCATAAAATTTAGTCCTCAAACCACTTTAGCGCCGTCTTTACATCGGCCGTTGGCTATTTCGCCAAACAGAATTATTATATTATCTACCGTAGATATATCAGCGTTGCAAACATAACCTGACATAAATTTTAATCAGGCAACTTGCAAGGTTAAAGCGAGAAGCAGGAGCGGTACGCTTTAGAACCAATACGCGAATATAAGGCCAACGTCCGATGAGTGGAGAACACCAAAGGTAACGCTAGGAAAAATTTATTAAGTGGGCGAAACGCTATCTAGTGCTAAAAATAAGGCACCGGAAGATAGCTAGCTAGGGAAAGGTGTGGTCGCGTGCGCGGAGAGCAAAGATGGCCGCGGAGCCGATGAGCGTCGCGCCGTTCAAAGGCGGATGCTATGTTGACTCAAACAAACGCGAGCAACGTTCAAACAGGCGAGCGGCTATTTTGCTGCGTACATCGAGAAAATATAATTTTGTGATTTTGTAATATTTTACGCAGCATGCGGCAGCCAAACAGGGGAATCTCCAGGTCACTACAAGGTCACTGAGATCAATCTACTCTAGCCACGTTTTGAATATTACCGCAGTGCTGTGGCGCACGATCCCTGATCTATTGCATTTAAACACAAAGATTTACGTCAAATTAGACGAATTATGAAGAAACGTTTTACTGAAACCTATCCCGTTTTGAATGATGCAAATCCCGAAGATATAGTTCAGCGTTATGGGATCGTCGTACGATCGAGTTCTAACAGTGCACCCTTCTCATTTTTCTACCCAATTGTAAATTCACCATTTTTGATGCTGCCCGTTTGATACTTTTATAATTGCTGATGTAAAACATTGAAAACGCACTCATTTGGGTACATAAAGCTTACACTTACTGGCTGACTGACTGACTGACTGACTGACTGTTAGCCATTTTAGCGCGTTAAACGATAACTATTATCTGTTGTGAACAATTTCGCTGATGACCAATTGTACACTAATCTTTCTTGTCTTAATCTCCCTTACATTACATCCATGTTGACCTACATCCGGCTCGACACTTGACCGTCTTGTTAGTTCCCGCGCTAACGTGTTGCTCTTGTCTCGCTTCAACCGTCCGTGTCTTCTTGTAGCCCACGGAACACAGTCCGCTGTGTTCGACTCCAACTGCCTTCTAATATCCGCCCTTAATTTCGCACACCGCTTCGGATTATTATTATTATTATTTATTAGTCCTAAAAAGTTGCGGTACAATAGCGGAGGTGTTTCCCCACCTCTAGCTGACATGTATAATGATGATGATGAGTCCTATAAAGTGGTGACCCCGATTCCCAGGCGCGAATTTAAACTTTTTCGTCGTTTCTATTTTTTGGTGAGTTCGTTCCTTTCTCTCGGTTATATACGTATATTCATTTATTGCTTACGTACTTTTAGTAGTTTCATCGTGTTTTTGTTCATCGTCGATCTTTTCGATCCACATTTCGCGAGCGGCATCTGAGTCCTTTCGCAGCGTAAACATGCTTACTTTGGCTGTTCCAAGTTTCATGGAACACAGCCCAGAGGTTTGGCCTGCGATATTCGAGATCGAACTGGCAAATAAGGGAATTAAGACGGACCATCCGAGGTACAATCAGCTCGTCCCACGCCTTCCTTCCTCGGTTGTGACGCTGTTTGAGGACATTCGACTTTGCCCATCGAATGAGGCCAAGTATGAAACCAGGAAGCTATCGATCCTAAGGTAGTTACAGCTCAGCGCACGAGCTTGATTTGAAAAGCTCAGAGGTCTCAAGCTGGGAGATCGCAAGCCATAGGTGTTGCTCCACGAAATTCAGCTCATCGCTGGTCCCTTATTCTTGTGCGAAGAACGGATAAAGGAGCTGTGGTTTATGCGTCTCCCAGAGCCGTTGCCGGTAACGCTGTCCATGTTTCTGAATACGTCTCTGGAAGAAGTAACTACCAAGGTAGATGCTGCGCTCGAACCTCTTCCTCAGCAGACGATCAGTAACTCCGGTGTGATATTCTCACCGATGAAAACCGAGTCTCATATTTGCTTCAAGTCGCCAGGCTGATCAGACCATAAAGACGAGAAAATCGCGATACTTCGCAGTAGGCTAGCAGCAATGAAGGCTTCAAAGCAGCGCATGCTACGGCCAGATGCAGACCACGTTTTGGCTACCGTCCATTGCGGCTCGCCTGTGGTTGCACCGACTACGACTCCTTCAACGAAAAAACAGTATTTTCTGCACGTTCTCAGTTCGAAAATACTAGATCCATCGAAGAATTATGTAGATACTATCGCCAACATAGTGGAAAAGCTAAACGCTGTCAGGCTGCCTGCATTAGGCACGATTCAGCCGCTTCAGGGAAAGCGAATAGCCCGTATACTAGCACGACCAATGTATCCATTAATAACCAAACAAATCTTCTATTTTACGTTAAGGCTCGAAGTTCTTCCACCACGTTCCTCATCGGCACGAGAGCGGAAGTCAGCGTCATCCTTTCGAAAGCGAAGGACTAGCGCTCAAATCCCACGTACAACCTGGGTGCGGCCAACGGTTCTCCGATAGATTCATTCGGTCAGTGCATGATGAACCTGAACCACAATCTTCGCCGAGATTTGTAGTAAGTATTCATGGTTGCGTCAGTACCCTTCGCAATTATCGGTATCAACTTTCTCCGACATTTTGGTCTGCGTGTTGATACTGGTCGCCAAAGACTTTAGACCTCGGGGTTGATGGCGTTCTTACGGACGCCTCGACAATCATTCCCATTTTCCGAATCGCCGAGGTACCTTCAGATTATGCGAACCTACTGTCTGAATACCCGCGACTGGTAGGACCAGCTGCAGAGCCTTCGCCAGTCACGAAAAACGTCGGTCATCACATTGTCATGCGCGGTCCGCCAACGAGTGTCCTACCAAGACGACTCCCATTCGACAAATTACGTGCCGCAAGAGCTGAATTCGATCACATGCTTCAGCTCGGTAGCATAAGACCATCCAACAGCTCATGGACATCACGTCTTTACATGGATCCGTAAAAGACCATGGGGGACTGGCTTGCTTGTGGCGAGTATCCATCTCTAAACAAGGTAACCACGCATGCTGACTGTCCGATCCCACATATCGTGGACCTCACCGCCAGTCTGGCAGGTAAAAACGTTTTCAGTAAAATCGACTTGATGCGCGCTTAGAACCAAATTCCGGTAACCGAAACGGACATCGCTAAAACTGTCTTGACGACTATTTGGTTTGTTAGATTTGCAGCACATGCCGTTTGGTCTAAAGAATGCAGCGCAAACTTTTCAGCGCTTCATAGACTAAGTTTTTCCCAGCCTAGACTTCGCTTATGTCTACCTCGGCGCCGTCTTAATCCCTAGCTTCTTGATCGTCTATCTTAAAACGGGGTTGCAATCAACGCAGGAAGTGTTCGTTTGGTGTCGATTCGGTCAGTTTTCTCAGTCATCATAGCTCTCCTGCAGGCGTCGTGCTATTACAGGATAACATTAAGGTCATTATGGACTACCCAAAGCCGTCGCAAAAAAGTGTCCTCCTGCATTATTCGCCTGTAAACCTTCGGGACTTATTCTCACATAGACCTATGTGCTATCATTCGATTTGGCTCCGCGAGCTCCTCCTAGCACTGTTCATCTTTTGGATCTGTCATTCGCGGATCACCAGAAAGCTGTGCTTTTGCAGGTTCGAAGTCGACTATGCTTGAAGCTTGCAGGAGGATTTATTTTTCCTTGCACGAGAAATCTTGTGGTCTTATTTTAAAGATCTTTTTAGAGTCACCCGAACATCTTACTACCATTCCTTCTAGTCGCTGTAGAAAGCGATAGTTGTCAATTTGGTCCGCCCTTGGAACAGCCACTGTCGTCATTAGACAGTATTTTCCAAGTCATGTTACTTTGCTTCAATCCTGCGCTGCATCGCTGCCTATCGCCTTACTAGCTGGACCTTTAACACGCAAGTCGCCTCTCTACCCTAAAGAACACGTGACTCATCTGGACGCGACACGTCTGACCTCTCTAAACCTCAAACCAGCGCCGATTTCCACGCAACGAAAAGTGAAGCGAAGTCATACATAGTGTGTCAGAATCTCTGTCCACTTGCAACCCCTGCTGTAGTGTACATCCAGTTGCCCCATTCCATCTTGTTATTGTGGAATCTTTAGACCATATCACCAGTATCTGAGGTGATTCCTAGTTCGCTGCCCCATTACTGACCGTGACCACATATATCAGTCGAATCATTTCAATGGTTCAACGTTGTCTCTGTTGCGTAGACGATTGCAGTAAAGTCCTTAAGAGCAGAATAAACCGTTCTAGCTGCATTCGATCATAATGTCTGCAATGTGTAGGTAAATCCGTCCAAGTAATGAGACAGAAAAACAAAGTTGCTGACACAATTTGGTTTTGCCCAACATGTCAAGTCATTCCCGTTGTCAACTGTTTATCTTTGCTCATAAAAAGTGCGATAGGATGACTGTGATAATCGGCTTTTTTGTACATACTAAGACCGATCCCACGGAGGTAAATATGGCCCCGCTAATACCTCAACCAGCCAAAGTAAGCTCTGAGTCTAAACCGAAGAAAAGAGATAGACGCTCCAACCGCACTGCTGCTTCTATGTATCTAAATCCACTGGGCCACCCCACTCCCATAAGTGGACAAGCCTCAAACACGCCGGCTTCCACTCCTCCAACCATGGACAACGTACCTGGCGATTCAGCCATAACAGCGACAGCTCAGAACCGGAGGCATACGCATCGATTTCCGCGACAAACACACTGGGATCGACAAACGTAGGTCCATCATCAGTACCGAGCGCACGTAGAGCAACGCAGCTTTCACTGTCAACTTAAGTGGGGTCTTTTAAACAGCCCAAGCTGCCGGCAAGAACTTCAAAATCGATA